TTTCACTATACTCAAGAAGTTCAAATTATCAGCTTATAGTCTATAAACTATTATAGAGAATAACTTTTTCAAGAGATCTGCTATATACAGAACTCATTTATTTAAAGAGCTTATTAAAATAACTTTTAAAAGCAAAGAATCTGACAGAGCTTTCATTGAATGATTAATTATTATCAGAACTGATTATATTTATCTGAAATATAAGATTGAAGATATTATATTTTTCAATAGATTACTGATAGAAGTTAATAGAGATTGAACATTCTTTATAAAGAATAGAATAAATTAGATTAATAAGATCAATTCAAGATCTCTAGAAGAAGACTTTATAAAGTTATACTATAACATACTTCTATACCTTTCTACTGCAGAAAATAGTAGTACTGAATTCATAAAAAATCTCACAAATAACACTCAAGACAAGGATAAGAAAGACAAGAACAAAGACAATGATAATTATTATTATTATTATTATTATTCTTTCATTATACTTATATACAAGCGGAGCTTATAATGAGTCCTTGCGTGATGTTAAATACAGGTCAAGTGTTGATTATACAGGAGGGAGGGTGTTGAGACACATCCAGGATAACAGGAACTAGGGAAATACAAAGAAAGTGACATTTAGATACTGGTGAAATTACTTTCCCGGTTCGAAAACTAGAGCAATTCATTGAAGTGATTTGTACACCTCTGTATTTATTAGAAACCTGAGGTGCTTGAGTTCTGGATTTAATGTATCCCCTGCGGGTTTCGAACCCACGCGCCTTGGTTTCCCACGCCAAGGCGCTACCGGGTGGCCGCATTAACCATTCGGCCACCGGGGCAAAGACAATGATAAGAATAAGAACACTGAATTCAAACCTGAATATAGAGATAATGATGTGAGAACCTGCTATCATTGTCAAAAGATTAATTATGTTCAGACTAACTATTGAAAGAAATACTCTGAGTAATGTTCTTTGAACTTCAATATTAATAGAAATAAGAATAAAGATAAGAATGTGAAGAATACAGATACTATCTCTATTTATAATATTATAGAGTAAGTATTTTATATTAAAGAAAAGATCTATGTGAGTAATCAGACAGAAAAAGATATCTGAATTGTAGACTCTGAATCAGATGCTTATATTACATCTCACAGAGATCTTATTATAGTAAAATCTCAGAAGATGAAAGTAATATTGAAAATAATAGATAGAATAGTAGTCTCTGCTACAGCTATAGAAGATACAAAGATTTCAGTGAAAGAAATGAATATACTGTTAAATAATATCTACTATATTCTGAAGTTAGAAGTAAATCTCATGAGTATAAGTAAGCTTATATATCAGAGTTATATCTATAAGCAGTTAATATATGAGAATAATTATATTATGTTGATTATATCTTCTAATCACATGTTCTTATTTACAGCAAGATTAAATAAGAATGATATCTATGAGATGAAAAGACTGATTATATACAGAGACTTAATTCAGTTTACTATACTTAATAATGATTTTAAATCTGTGAATATATTACAAGTGAAAGATAAAATAATATTAACACTATCTGACAGAAATAATACAAAGATTATAGAACTTATAATAATATATTAACATTAAAAGCTAGAACATCTGAATTTTGTGAATATTATAAAAATGATAGCAGATTCATATCTAGAGATGAGAATTATTAATTAATACGCTTTATTATTCTGCAAAGTCTATATTCAGATAAAAATGACATATTCAATCTTTATATCTATAACACAAGTTATTAAGCTGATAATAAGATTCTTCATTGATCTGACAGAGAGTGAAAAAACACTTTTCAATGAAAATAACACACTCACTAGAGAGAATGTAAGTTATTGATTAAGTATAACAGATAATGTAATTTATTATAGATAAGTAATTTTTATAATAAAAAAGAGAGAATCTACTGTAAGATTAATGAACTTCATTATAAATATTAAGATAACTATATAATATCAAGTTGAGACTCTACACTGAGATGATGAAGAAGAGTTCAAAAGTCAAGAACTTAAGATTTACTGTCAGAGTAAAGAAATAGTGTATAAAATGACTACATCTGATACATCACAATTGAATGACTTAGCAGAACATGTGAATTGAATAGTTATAGAAAAGATGTAAAGTCTACTATTTAATAGTAGATTAAAAAGAGAACTTTGAGATAAAGTAATACAAGCTGTGATTATAATGATTAATACATTCTCAACATTAATGAAGATATTTGAATGTAAGAAAGAAATATCACTTATATCTTTTAAAGCTTAAACTGAGATGCAATCTTCTATTTATTGAATACAGATAGACTGGCCGCCAGAATCATGAATTTCACATTTGATCTCATTTGGTCTGATCTCATACATTTCTTGGCGTGAATCCCGCTGGGACTAGTCATTAAAAAAACATGTAAAGTGACTATATATGAGATCTTAAAATGGAATCATGACTTGAAAAAAATGAGAAAGTGATCTCATTTGATCTCATTTAGTCTCATTCTTAGCATAAAGTTACTATTTTTAGACATTTTCAGGTTTTTTTTAGACTATTTTTAATTTTTTAAAAAGTAACACTTTTTGATAACACTCAAATGAGATTTAAAGTCATTTAAAGCAATAAAAATAATTTAAATTGAGAAGTGGAAATCATGATCTCATTTGAAAAATGTGATAAGAGTAGACAGTAAGTCTCACTGAGACAGTATGAGACTACTATCTAATGTTAAAACCGTGTAATGAGATCGGTCGAATTGGTAATGAAACTATCAAAAAATCTGGTCCTGGTCCCAGACACGGTCACACGGTCAGTCTAAATACAGAGATAAGAGTGTAAGATCTATACGAAGAATTTGAAAGTGTTAAATAAGCTTATAGATAGAACTGATAGTAAGAAATAATAGCTAATTGAATATCAAGAATTATATCAATATTGTGTATGAGATTCTGTTGTACATTGTCTTGAGATTGCATAAGATATCATATTTAATAAAGCTCTTGACATGAGTGCAAATACACCTGTAAATACAGTGAGAAAATTCAATGAATTGTCTAATAAATTGAATACTCTGAATGTCAGAGAGAGATGACAGCACTACTTACTATAATATCTAGTAAAGAAAAAGTCAGATGTTTTGAAGATAATTATTAATAAGAACTTAGAAAGTGTAATTAATTCAATCTATCTTCTAGATAATAAGACACAGCTTATCATGAATAAAGAGTCTGAAGACTCTATTAATGAGAATGATTCTGCTCTAAGTATTCTGACAGACTGATCAACTACACTAACAGAAGTCAAGAGAAGCTCAGACTGAAACTATTAACATGAGACAATGAAAAAGAAGATTAAGATATTTTGAATAGAAGAAGATATATATTATCATTGAGAAGATCTCAGAAATGAATATTCTTACAGATAAATAAGTATATGATTGAAAATTCAATAATAAGAGGAGAAATC